TGCTGTGTTAGAGAGCCTGCAACTCCTCCATTCATTATTTATATTACTAGAATTCTTCTGGGTGCAGACACAGGAAATGTAATTACTTTGTATTACCCACAAGTTGTCATTTCCTAAAGTGCCATCAGGAAAATAAGAGTCATTAAAGCGTGTGCCCAGCCAAGAACGAAAAGTAATAACCTCACGCGGTCCTGCTGCGCTCACACCCACATGCACACACACAATGAATCTCTCAAGGCAAGGGCAGTGGGAACAGTGGATGTCATCTCGTTCATATCTAAAAGATCCAGATGGATGATGCATTATAGGACCTACAAGGGCTTAATCGCTTTTCACTCTATCATGTGAAAAATAATACTAATGCCATGGACAAAAAAAAAAAAGGGATCGTTTGCAGTAGCAGTGCCAGGATTTTAATCAATGTGGAATAAATATCCCTATTGTTCCCACAGGTCTCTCCAGGGATTCATCTGTTGCATAATTCCATGACATATTGACCTGGCCTGTCTCTCAAATCAGGTATTCATTAATCATATCAAAACTGCACACTCTACACATCCTTCATTACATCTGTCTGTCTCTGCTGGGTTCAAAATTCAACCACAGCTGACTTCTTGATAAATTCAAACAAGGAGAGAACGAGGAAGTAGGACTCCATACCACAGCGGTGTTCAATGTAGAGCATGGGTGGTGTAATTTCAAAACCCCTTTTATACATTCAAGCTCCAAATCTGCATAAGAGGTTGCAATGACTGCAAAAAGCCTTGTAAGTTGAAGTTAGGTCCTAAAATGCCAAAATGGTAAGTCATGCAACACTTATGAAGTATGAAGATCAACTTTATTAACAAATTAGACCGACGCAATTTCGATTTGTGGCCTTCATCAGGGTCATCCAAAAATGGAATGTTAAATGGTTTAGTGGGTAAAAATGGGGAAAAAAATGTTTTTGAAAAAGAAGGATTTCCAAAGACAATTTAGAAACACACTAAAATTACCACACTCTGCTTCTGTCCTCTCAGTCATAACACTGAAGCACAGAGGGTTCTCATTCTGCCAGTGCCATCTTGTGTGCACAGCAGAGGATTGCAGTGACGGTATCACAGAGAAGCAGTACTGAGAAACAACAGACAGTGTCACTCTAGCACCATCCCAGGGCTACATACTCGATGGCCCCAGATTCAGCCAACATAACGTTGCTGCAGGGACACAGCAGAGAGGGAGTGAATCAAACAAAACAGGCTTTGAACTCCCTTAAAAGGTTCCATGATTGTTGTGGCAAAAAAGGTTTATTGTTATACTCAGTGTAATGATATCTCTTTGACTTATGAGCCGTTACATCCATTCCTTTGACTATCAACAGTATGAATACCTTATTATGAAGCGCTTCGGAAAGAATCTTTGGTTATGATATTTGGATACAAGAGATGGTGTGACTCAAGTAGGCCCACTACCATGTCTGAGATGTGACAACAGAGAGTAAGGGAAGACCATAAACAAGGTTTATTTTGTGGCTTTTTTTTTACGTGTTTGTTTGTCTTTCAAATGTGTGATTGTATACAGACAAGAGAAACATGCTTCTCTTAATACTACAGAGATATGTCCTCATGTTGAATATCTATGTGGGTGTTTTTTGCTTGTAAGAGGTCTCCAAATGACAGTGGAGCGATAAAGAAGCTTTGTGAGGATAACATTTGCAGCGAATATTGAAATTGTTTTAAAAAAGGGAAGACAAATTCCAAATGTTTACAATTCTACAATTCACTTAGCAGACGCTTTTATCCAAACACAGAGAGTTTTGAGTAGTGTTTAAAAACTTTTTTTTTTTGTTAATTTTCCTCAAAACAATACATTTTATATAGCATCCTTAAAATAAATTGTGCAAAAGTCGTATTAGAAACATTATAAGGAGTGTTTATTCTTTTGAGACAACTTTTTTTTGGGGGGGGGGCTCAAAGAGTAGCAGCAAGTTTCTAAAAATGGAGACTTTTTGAACCCTGTTAATTAGCTCTGTATCCCTCTGAAACTGCTCAGCTCTAATGAGTATAACATGCTCCAAAGGCCATATGCTGACATACTTCTTAATGTTTTCTCTTAACTTGGCTACTGCACGACCCCCAGGGTACGAGTAAGCATGCAGGCTTACATCATTATAAAAAACTTTTTTTTTTTTCACCCTACTCACACAAAAAGAACAAGGTGCATTTAACCAAAAATCACTTCATAGAAAAATTCCTTTTGTAGGTGGGAAAAATTACAGCTAAGTATGAACGAAAGCCTGTAATAGGTTTTAAAAAATAAAATGTTACCAGCTAAATACGGTCGTACTCTTCATCGAATCAATGGTACACCATTGCTGAAGTTTTATAGACTGCCCATGTAGCACTGTTGCTCCGCACAGACACTCCCTCTCCTCCTGGATCCCATTGTGAATGTGTGCAGTGAGCTGGCTCATTGGGTCCTCATGGTGAAAGGCCCACAGCCATTCACTCAGCGCACAGAAGCTCATTAGAACTCTATAGACACACAATTGTGGGGCTCACATTAGAAACTTCCTCCTCTGGGGCACAGACACCGCACACAAAGTGCCAGTTTGCTGCTAAGCTAAGCGCATTGTCTTCCTGATTCATAGAGCCTGGCCCTCCATTCACGATATTAAGTTCGAGTGGTGGAATATCAATTGCGTGTGCAATGGGCCGGTATCTTTTTAAGAGCTTTAGTGGGGTTAAAAAAAAAAGAGAGAAAAGGGATCTCAGCCGGTCTGCAGAGTACTGGCTTTCAACAGGGCCATTGTGAGGATTCTGAAAGAAGGGACCCCTGTTTTTTTCCCTCCATTTCCAAAAAAGAGATGGACATCAAATAAATTCACATGAACTTGCTTCAGGGTGTTTCCAAGACCTACTGTTTAAGAATAGCCTAATTATACCTCCCTCTCCTGGAGAGCTCTTTTGGAATTCTGGCTAATTACTAAGTGGTGAATCTTAATGATGATACGCTCTTTGCTATGCCTTTTAAGATTTGCACAAATTCATGTGAGACCGCTTCTTCTATCTGAAATATCAACGAGCAGAGAAATATATGGTTTTAACAAGAGTGTAGGATTTGCAAGCATGATGTAATTTTCAGGGGATTGTTACATCTTTTACATTTACCTCACATTCTCAACTGTCCCTGAAAGACTCATTCGAGTGTGAAGAAAGCGAGAGTGTATGAATAAACTAGGACTAGCACTAAATGTTATCGCATAAAACACCTTGACAACAATCAGAGTCATGTTTAAAGAACTATAAGAGTTTATAAGAGCACTAAAGAGCAGCAAACAAATGGCTCTGCACATAACAAAAAAGCAGCGGGGGACTTTCGTAGCCACTGGTCTATGTGCACCATGTTAAACACACTCACTACACACAAAAGTAGAAAGTGCACACAGACAGACTCGCTAACACTCATCATGTGACAGAGCGCTATAGCCTTCTCCACCAGTCTGAGGAATAAAACCTCAAATTTGATTACAAGCAACCTTTGGCTCCCTGGCCACCACACAATAGGCTGAGCTGTCTGGGCCAATTTCCATGCTCAGCATGAGGTAACTACACGCGCAGAGCGGCGCTCACAGCCACCCTCCTGCACAGCCCAGCAGACTGGATATGCCTGTTTACTGTGCCTAAACTCTACGTCCGTCGCCCCTCTTGTTGGACTTTCTATTATGATGTTGAGGATCATTAGTTGCAGTGTGAAAGGTTACACAAGCCTCTCGTTGGACGTGTTTGTACCGAAACATCTTGACGTGTGTGTGTGTATGTGTGTGTCTCTGTGTTTCCTTTTTTTTTAACTTACAGTTGCAACTTTCTAATGCATCATGAGAAACTACAATCAAGCCTTGCACTGGCAGACTATCTAAGTGCTTAAGTGTGCTGCATGAGAAGCTTCATAGATCTCTCAGATCTAAATCCCACTTAAACGGTGCTGTTCATGTAAAATGATGAAGTTTGAAACCTGTCAAACTAATGCCACCAAATGTTAGCAAAATGAACAAATGAGAAAAGAATGGTTGAACTCCAAAAACAATTTTGCCAATGACGTATTTTCAACAAATTAATTAATTTGTGCTGTTACGCTGTATATTGATAGTTTTTTTAAGGGCACAGTGTCAGAACTGTCAACCTGCAAGTATCATGTATGTTACTTATCACTTGATGTAGAAAATCTTAAAGCATATAAACTATAAAAGGAAGCTTAGTATGAATTACTTATACAAACCATAACAAAAAAAACACCCTTTGAAAATCAGGGAAAATACATTCTTTTAGTCAAGAACTATAATCAATTAGATAAATCAAATAACCTAATCCCTCAAGGCAATGTTAGCGGATGTTAACTTTTAGAAAAATAGTTTCCACCAGCACTTTTCCTGAGAATTTTGAGGAGAACGTTTGTTAGTTTGTTTTAAAATGTGATTACAATACATTTTTAGCGTATCTTTATTTAAAATGGAATTTACGCTTTTTAAGAATCTGCCATTAAAAGAAAGCCTGTTGAGCAATGGTTCTAAAATGAAATGGAGGGAAATGCCACACTGCAAATGCGCTGCTCACGGGTTTGTATGAGGCACAATGGGAGGCTGGAGAAAGGAGAAAACTATTTACTACTGCAGAGGACTGTTTGGTGCATGTTAAACTTTGGCCAGCAGTCCATTGTCTCTCATGTCTATCATTTAATAGGCTAGTTGACATAATGAATGAGCCAGACCCACCTTCTGCCACACCAGAAAGGACCCCAGCCTTATCTGAATTGAGAAGCACATTAGAGCCACTCAGCCAATCAGGACACAGCACAGTGGCAAAGTGCAGGCCCAAAAGAGGAAGAGTAGAGAACTTTTGTTTTCCTCAGTGTTTAATGAAGTTGGCCTGGTCACTCGAGAAGGGATTAAAGGAGAATTTAGTGTCACTGAGCTGTGACTGTTGAAGAGGGCACTCAAGTGTTCGGGTCACTGTGTGAACAGCATGGTCTCAGTCCAGAGCTGCACCAGGAGGAATATGGCTGGCTCTCCTCCGGCACTGCCAGGCTTCGGAAACTCAGGAAAGAGTTTTCTTATTGACAATCTGCTGCAGTCTCAGACTCCTTCTGCTCGTCAGGAAGGGACGGCAGGTGGATACCTGAGACTAGCAGCATGTGAACATCTGAGGAGGACCTGGGGTTGTGAGCACGGAGCCTACAAAAGCCAGGCCCAGAGTCCTCAGCAGGTGAAAGATTTAGGACGACCGCTTCTACAACACTCAGGTAAACATGTTTTTATAACAAAATGTGACACACCTAGACTTTTGATTGACAGATGTGTTTGGGTTTTATCAAGAATTTCCTCAAATATATGTATTTATTTATTTTCTAAGTTATTGGGTCATCTTAAGTTGGCTGTAAATGCTAAGTTTTAAAATGTTTCCATTTAAAGACAAGCAATTTGTGGAATATTTGTGTATCTAGAATTTAACTTTTGTTGATTATATGCTTTGTAAGATATTTAAAATCTTCAGGATGTCATTTCAAACATATCTAATTTATCTTCATCAAGTAGAGTTGTAGGCCATTGAATGTCCTCCATTTCATGTCCTCCATTTCTTTCACATACTTTTTAACCACACATTCATGTTCACTACTTATGCAAAGAAAAACTCACAGGCCTCTTCTTATAAATTAAAACTTTAAGAACTAATTAAAATTTCACTTCTGTGTGGAAATTAATTATGCTCATCAAGGCAGACTCATTTAAGTTACAATTCACAGCATTTTTCTTTTTATATCATCCATGGATTAATGGTATTTTGTTTACTGTAAAATCAAATTTTAAAAACAAAATAATAAAAAAAAATACCTCAGAATCGTTTTAAATTTTATCACAAGTCAATTGTTTACAGTCTTGATAAAGAATAAAATAACGGCAAAAGGGGGCATAGGTAAACAAACCATAAAAGTTGAATTATAAACTGTGAGGTAAAGAATTTATGAAGTTTTTAAATGTAGCATTCGTTAATTAAAGCTACTTTATTTTTCAGTTAATTCGTTTGAAACCAAATATAGTTTGCCTCTTAGATGGGTAGTCTTAAAATCAAATTAAGCAGGTATAAGTTCCAAAATGTAAATGATATTCATGCATTACCTAAAGCTTAACACCACTGTAAAGAAAAACACTGAGATCGAAGGGAAGCAACTGTAAAACTAAGAAAGTAGAACTACAAACTTACAGTGCCTTGTGTGTTATATCTTTCTCACCTGGTTACTATCCACCCATATCTGACTGTTCCTATCTATCACTGCAGGTGTACTGAGCAGTGTTTTCCTGCAAAGCCCGCAGTATCTGCTGGCATGCTGCGGTGGGTCCAGCCCCCCTCCTGTCTTCTCCAGTGAGTGTTTTATGCCTCATCAGCAATGCCTCAGCTCCTCTCTAAGCATTAGCAGCAGGGTCTCCCATGCTCTCCACAGCTAATTACTGATGCAATGCCAAAGAGCTAATTCTCTGCTCAACTCTGCACAGCTCTATTCATAACCATTCACGGCTGTTTAGGATGGGGAAGAGGGGTGGGTTGCAAGGCTTTTAAGATTCCCTGGGGCCCCCTATTTTGTACTTGCAAATGCACACTTTTACTAGTGCAAATATGCAAAGCCAATAAACATCTTGTCTTCTGTCATATTAAGACTAGAATAAGCAGATGTGGATTATTACTGCTGAGCAAGGCAGAGTTTTCAAAGCTTGATCATTTTATTTGATCGTGATCACAAAAACTTTTAATACATTTCCATCTTGAGTAGTATTTGAAAAAATCCAGAAAACCCAAAATTGCAGCACATTTAAAAAAACATGTATTCTGAACTATACTTGGAATTTTGTATTTCATATAATTTAAAACTTTCTTGATACCATGAGTACAACATCATACCCTATTAGTATTGATAAGACTAGCAGCTGTCATACAATGGCATTGTCCAACAGCAATTGGAAGTTATTAGTTGCAGCAACCTAAGATGCCTGTCAAATGTTGTTGAAAATAGCACAAATCAAAAAGCCCTCATCCCACAGGTCCCAGGAGTCCTCTTATTGGGTTGACACTTTCCCACAGTGCCCAGCAACACAACAATGCCAAGTCTGGCCGTGACCAATTGGCACTTTCACTCCACCATCCACACGCGACCTTACTGCAATTTTTCACTGCAGCAATGAACTCCGTTTACCACAAAAAACTTGCCCATTTCTCTACAGAAGAGGGTTGGACCAGGAACATCCCCCAGCCATTGTATGGCTAAAGAGCTTGGTTCACTGACCCCCCTCCTTTCTCCTGTCCTTCAACTCTCATTCCTGCCCATTGGAGAGTTCTTGACTAGGACATAAAGCCTTCAATGAAAGTGACTTTTATAGACTTATTCGAGCTCATCTTCACATACAAACTGGCTTCATACCTGCAAGTGAAAAGATTTAGTGTTGGGCCACTGAGTGATCGAGTAATGGCATTTCCATTGAACTGCTCCATTGTTGGTATCCCACAGGGCTCTATAGTTGTCCCACTAGGGTAGACACACACGATGCCCAGGAATGACCTGGTAATCAGCTATTTAAGTCAAAGCCATTGAGTCCCAAAAGAGAATTGAGAAGCATGTCCAAACCGGTTATGTGCTCCCTAGAGGTGGTCTATGTGCAGATTTGTCGTACAGCTTAAAAAGGCAACATTGAATGGATCGGATAAATAGTTCCACTTGACTTTTGTTGTGAGTGCACCTGTGAGTGAAGTAGCGTGGGATTGCTCCTCACAGTTCATCAAATCCCTTTTTCTCAGCTGAGGTGGCTTTCTATTCTCTTTAGTCACCCCCAGTTGGTTAAATTGGACAAATAGAGAAAAAAAGAAATCAAAAGTGAGTGATAGAGTGAATGTGACAACAACAGGCATGATCTTTGGTTGTAAAGGACAGGAAGTGTGATGTGGTTGGTAAAGTGTAACTATTGATGTGTATAGTAGGGATTGTCTCTTTAAATAACAATTGTCTAAATCATGAAACAATTGGGAAAATGATACAGAGCCAGATTAACCAATAGTGTGCTTTTGTGTCTCAAGTCACCACACAAAATATCTTATTTTCCTGAATACTTATTGAACTACCACTTTCATGTTATGCTTTATATTGTCAATGGGTATAACTACTCAATGACACATACTCAACTGATTTGACATTGACAATTTGGGAAAACAAACTAAAAATAAAATGTGTTTTCTCTTTGATTTATGTTGCAGAGGGGGCAAATATTCGAATGTGGTCTACTGATATAAGTCATAAATCGCGCAGGGGAATCCTTAGGAGGGCTGTGTTCTCTGAAGAACAACGGAAGGAACTGGAGAGGACTTTTCGGAGACAAAAATACATCAGCAAGACAGACCGGAACAAACTGGCAGCTGATCTCAGTCTTAAGGAGTCACAGGTAATTTGAGCAAGAGTTACCACTTTTCTTTAACCAAATTATCTATGTATATCCTGTGTGTTTATGAGGCCAATGGCTGTTAGCCATTTTTTATTTTAGGGATACGATGTCAAAGGGGGAGAGTAGTAATGGTAATAAAACAAACAATTCCCCATTATTCATTATCCAGAACTTTTCATGAACAAATATTAATCCCACAATGTGACCATCAAAGAAACAGCAGGGCTATGAAGGTCAGAGAAACCTGCATTAGCTAAGTGTATACAATGTTAACAACGATCCCCATATTAGTGTGGAGTGTCTTCATTCTAGACTAAGATGACACACAAAGGCTAAAATAAATAAAACTATTAATCCATTTAGCATTTGTAGGACAGAAGTGGTGCATATAGATAGACAGAATCTGCCGCAACTAGATGTATGCCACTAACAAGGGTTAAAATGGATGGACTTAAGAAATTGAAGTAAAATGCCTCTCTATGCTTCCATCTTTTAAAGGTCAAGATTTGGTTCCAGAACCGTCGAATGAAGTGGAGGAACTGTAAGGAGAAGGAGGTTCATAACACCCGCTCCCCAATGGATGAGCTCATGGCTCAAGGTCTTGCTCAAGAAGAGGACGAGCCATCACAGAATCACACGGATGGAAAAACAGAGAGATCAAAGCAACAGAAGAGTGACAGGGACACATGAGAAATATGAAGGACTATCAAATTGACAAAAATCTGTGAAGAGGCTACATGGTGATCATTTTAAAATATGAGGATGTAATACACTGTGTGTGTGAAACTAACGATGATATTATTAACTTTTCAAAGAACCTAATCATTTTGCTGAATCATAAATGTAATGAGGTGGAACTGCTGCATTATCCTCGTCATAGTGTGTTCCACTGGTTCAGTAGACAATTTATTGGTTCATATGCTGACAATTTCTAGAAAAAAATCCCATTCTTAGAAATGTGATTCCAGGCAGTTAAAAATACAAATGAGTCACCTGATCTAATGTGTTTACATATAAGCAATTTTTTATGTTTTGTGAAGCTTTACACTAATGCTCATTATAAAAAGATGAGTCAAAATTTTGCCTGATATATTTTGTAAATATTTTTCCATGATCTTGAATGCCTGAATTAACTGTAAATAAAATGTTTTTAATTCCTGATTCCCATATTGCTTATTTTTACAATGTTGGTCAAAACTATTTACATGTTGATGAGCACTATACTAAAACTACCATTCAGAAAATATGCAGAGCGTGTGCTCCCCATTAACAAAAACAGGACCAGAACAATGTTAGGGTTCAAGATATGTATTTATTTTTTTTAACCTTTCATGCTCAGTGTACAAAATGGAGAAAAAAATAACAAAAACAAAACATAATGCTTTGCTTTATATGCATTAAAAGGATATCAGAACCTACAATTAGAACATGTGAAAATGAAATAATATCACTGCTAAATTAACCAAGAAATTAAAGATTCTAAACAAGTCTGATTTACTACCAGTATTATTATGTTTTTGAAAAGTGCACTTAACAGTCCAGTACAGGGAGGGTAGTGCACTTCAGTATTCTGAGATAATTTTTGACTTTGTTGGAGTCTCTGCGAAAGCAATAGAGGAGGACAAGATGGTCCATCGAGGTGACTTCTCCTTTTTTGTTGAAGTAAAAGGCAGAAGAGGGGGGCAGAGTCTCAGGAATGGTGTAACCTACATAGTTACCAAGTACTCCCAATAACTTCATCTGTAGTGGATAGAAAAAAAAAAAATCTTTCAAAAAAACCGTAAGTCCCATATCTAAAGTAGAATAACAATAACCAGTCAAAATATAATATGGTGTTATTCAAAGAATAATATATTTACTGTACGATTAAACCACACAACACATCATACTCAGCAACCATTAGTGGATCCTTACTTTCTCCGCCACTTTGGTCACTCCATCCCTCAGCTCATGCACCATATCACTTATCTCCAGTGCCTTATTGGAGCTGTAGTGGTTGAAGTCTTGATTCTGATCCTGAGACATGCTGTGGTAGAGTTGTGAGAGGGGGTCTTCCCAGGCCCCCAGTAGCCTCAGAATCACCTCTGTCAGCTGGTCCCTCTGCACATTAAAACAAAGAGTTGACTAACTCCACCATTCTTTATTGTGGAAGATTTAAGACATTGGTCACAAACTAGTTCACCTCAGTGTGCAATATTTGAACTGTGTATTGATCAATTATGTTTGACATTATACATTTTCTGTAACTCTGCATCATTGCACATGAGGGAAACCAATGGTTTGCTTGAAATATGTTAAATTGCATGACGTGAATTAGTTAAGTTAAAAGCTCAACTAGGGACAAGAGTTGGAAATTAGCAATAGCTATATACTCTTTATGCAGGACATCAGTTTCATGCTCTGTATAAAATTCAAACCTTATTTAGAGCACAATGCATAAATTGTGAAAAGTAAAACTGAACACAGGAATGCTCACCCCCAGCCTTTGTGCATTTTCTTTATCTGCTGGAGTCATTATGCCATATGTGTGGCACTTTCCTTTTCCTAAGAAATTCTTGCTTGGAAAGAAATATTGCTCCTATGAAGACAAACAAATATCAAACGGATTAAAATTAGAAATGGCTCACTCAAAAATGTGTAACTGATGTTAGATAAACTGAGGTACAAGTGTGATGAATGAGCGTAATGAGAAACAAAGCTACTCACGAACTCAGAGTGCAGATCACTGGAGATGGCGTGCACTCTTGAAGACTGTTGTATGACCCTGTTAAAGAGATCCGCCAAAGAAGGAACATGGCATCCAGCCTGTCCAGAGGGACAGACTGGGGAAGTCCCAGCCCTCATGGAAAGCTCCAGGTAAACCAGTATAAGAACAGCAAAAAGATCTAAAGGAAGAAATGTGTTGCCATTGATATATCATGAACAAAAACTCTAAAATTAGTTTTTTTTATCTTGCCTACTTACCCTGTTTCATGGTTCCTTTCTTGCAGCTGAGCACCAGATGACGAGTAGAAGGCTTTTTTCTTTCCAGAGCAACAGTTGCAGAAGCTCGCTCATACAATGACGATGTTTCCAATTAAACAAATTGGTTTATAAAGGAAAATGATACTAATTATTCTCTGTGTACGTCATACAATATGCTTGGTTTAGTTCTCTATTCAGCCGAGAGAAGACTGCTTTAACCCAGGCAGAAAAGAGTCTATACAATTAGTATAGTAAGCTGGACCAGACTCTGTCTCTCCCTCCACCCTGAAGCACTGTGCTGATCAGCTGTCTCAAGTATTTACAGACATTTTTAACAGCTCATTGGAGACATGCCATGTGCCAGCCTGCTTCAAGTCCTCCACCATCATCCCTGTCCCCAAAAAGCCAAGGACCACAGGACTTAATGACTTCAGACCCGTCGCCCTGACCTCTGTGGTGATGAAGTCTTTTGAGCGCCTTGTGCTCTCCCACCTCAAAGACATCACAGACCCTCTCCTGGACCCCCTGCAGTTCGCCTACAGAGCCAACAGGTCTGTGGATGATGCCGTCAACCTGGCCCTCCACCTCATCCTCAAGCATCTGGACTCAGCGGGAACCTACGCCAGGATCCTGTTTGTGGATTTCAGCTCTGCTTTCAATACAATAATCACGGCTCTGCTCCAGGACAAGCTCTCCCAGCTGAACGTGCCTGAGTCCACCTGCAGGTGGATCACAGACTTCCTGTCTGACAGGAGACAGCAGGTGAAGCTGGGGAAGAATGTCTCGGACAGCAGGTGTATCTGCACTGGCTCCCCTCAAGGCTGCGTTCTTTGTCCTCTTCTCCCTGTACACCAACAGCTGTACCTCCAGTAATCAGTCTGTCAAGCTCCTTAAGTTTGCAGACGACACCACCCTCATTGGACTCATCTCTGGTGGGGATGAGTCTGCCTACAGGTGGGAGGCTGACCATCTGGTGACCTGGTGCGGTGAAAACAATCTAAAGTGTAACGCTCTAAAGACAGAGGAGATGGTTGTGGACTTTAGGAAAAAAGCAGTAATGGACAAGTGCAGGCTGCAGCGCATCATCTGCTCTGCTGAGAAGGCGATTGGCTGCAAACTGCCATCTCTACGCGACCGGTACACCTCCAGGACCTTGAGGCGTGCAGGTAAAATTGTGGCCGACCTGCACATGGACTGTTTGAGATTCTCGCCTCTGGCAAGAGGCTGCGGTCCATCAAGACCAAAACCTCTCGCCACTAGAACAGTTTCTTCCCCTCTGCTGTCAGCCTGATGAACAATGTGCCTGCCCTCCTCCCACATAACCCAGACTCTCATCAGCCCCACAGTCAGTAAAACATCAAAGTAATGTGAATGCTGAACTGTTCTTTATGCGTTACATTAGCGCCCACTGGACTAAAAATGTATCTTCCTTACAAAGACCATTCTCATAGTCCACTGCACAGCTCCTACATTGCACCTTTTGTACATTTTGTGCTTTTTATTTTTAATATTTTACATTTTTAAATTCTATTTTATATATTGTAATAGCTTCTTATACTGTATTATTTAAGTTGTTGCTAGTTCTGCTTTATTTCCTTGTTAATTGTTTAGCACCAATACACCAAGTCAAATTCCTTGTATGTGTAAATGTACTTGGCAATAAACCCCGATTCTGATTAAGACCAGAAATCTCTTTAAAGACATCAAAGTAGATTCTTTGATATATAAAAACAATGTTTTTGTTGCACTCAGCTCTTTATTATAGCTCTCTGATGTTCTAACCGATCCCTAAAATGCGTCAAGATGTTCCTTGAGCTTTAGCAGTGGATTTTTTTTTATTTTTGAAATGTATAATGATTATAAACACGTAAGGGCATTTCGAATTTTTGTATATTTTTCATACCACAAGACAGCTAACGACATGCCTGGAGCACAAGATAATAAAAACAGAGTAGTAGAGTAAAAGCTCATCGTTTAGCTTTTCTGCTCAGTAGTGAAAACAAGGCTGTTCAGATGCAAAGTGAGTGATTCATCTGCTCGTTAACGCTACACAAGGTCAGTAACACGGGTCGTCTGCTGTGAGTACAGTCATGAGCCATTGAATAAACTACACTTAATCAGAGCAATGTTCAAGATAATGGCAAAGCTAATTCAACTATTATTTCTAGCTCATTTTAAAGACAAAATGTGGTTCACTTCATATGGAAGCATTTCGTTTTTCATGGTCTCTAAAAACTTTCAGTACTTGTGATGGCAAGGTCTACTCCACAACAGTGAAGCGGTTCTCTGCATCTCTGTTGGAGTGCCACCTTGTGGTGAAATGAGTAAAGAGAGCAACAGATTTTAGAGAAGTCACTCACGATCCTCCTCCATGATGTTATGATGAAATTAATTGTTGACTCCATGTCCACATTGAGAAGCAGTAGAGTTAGAATAATTCTTAGTAAATAAATACAAATTGACAAGGTATGATTCCACATAACAAATAGTTTATTGTCATCTTTTCCATGCATATAAAAAAAGATGTCATAAATACATCAATATCCTTATAGAAAATAGAATTTACAATCAATTTACATTACTTAATATTATTTACAGGTTTGAGTGCATTCTATTACTGTGTGCTGTCAGAGCAGGGATGAGGTAGTGAGCGTCTGAGGGATGCAAAGGGTTTCTATGTGTGAGTCCAGCTCTGTTCTTCCACTGATTTACATTAGGCCTACTTTACAACTTCTCACACCCAATGCCAAGAATCTCTCCATCTCAAACTCCATCCTAGGTTTTTTTCTTAAATCAAGCATGTGTTAGGTGTGGAATCAAATAGGTTTTTTTCCCCATTTGCGATTCTACACTTCAAACACAGATCCGGATCTTTAGATTGCTTAAATTCAACATCTGTGGTGCTTCCACTTACGAGTGGCCACTGCAATGTTGGCATCCTTTTTGTGCCAAGGGAAGAGGTTGGTGAGAGCGAGGGTGCCGTCAGGCTGCACAGAACCAGTCAACACGTAAAGCTGTGATCGTCCCGGGCGCACCAGAACACCTGCACATCGGAGGTTGATGAGGAGCCACTGCTGGAGAAGATGCCGAGTGTCATAAGGCAGCAGAGGGCCCTGCCGGATAAACTCCACGAGGCCATCAATCTCAAACTCTGGCTCTCCTGTGGGGAGGCGATGGCGATGAATTTTGGCAGTCACAGCTGCGGAAAAGAGAAGAAAAATTAATTAATAATCTGGTTTGAAACACACTAACAACAAAACATGGACAATCAGGATAAACTGTACAGTAACAAAACAGAGCTTACTGAAAGAATTCAAAGACCTACCAAAGTCATGCAGGCAGAAAGCATCCAGGACTGTCTTCATTGTTGGAGCTTCTTCCACAGCAGGGCAGTTCTGGCAGGCAGGTTTAGGCAAGTCTGTGATAATAAATAAAACATAGTTTAATAAAACGGTCGGGCCTATAAAGGAACTGTAGGTAATTGGCAAGAACTAGAATTTTCCTCAAATGGGTTTACAAGGCACCAGAGTGCTTACAAGAGAGCTTGTATAACTGGTTTGCAGTCCATGCTTACCTTTGGCAAAGTGACTAAATCTAGCATGGGGAACTAGGCACATGTCTTCCTCGGTAGGAAAGCGGTCACAATCTAGTGCCTCAGGCCAAGGGTGACCCTGGCAGGCGAGCACCGGGGCACAGCTGTCTCTGACTGCCACACACAGACTTCGGCAAGGCTGGATAAAACTGGAGGGAAATAAAGCGGAAATGTTATACAGTGATATGTGCAGAGGATTTCACAGGAGGAAAAAAAAGGAAGAAAAAAAAAAAGAAGAAAAAAAAATGTTAAATGTCCTTACGTGTCAAGACAGACAGGGGCAATGAGGGAGCAGAGGAAGGCCTGGGCTTGAGGATGGCAGCCTGTCTGCAACAGGGGCCTCCAGTCCTCTGAACGAGGCACCACTTCAGCTTCCAGGTTACTGTGACCTAAGAAGTTGGGCAGCCGCATCTCAGTGTATCCAACATCTTTGCAGACTTTCATCTGGTTGGGGATAGTGACACAGCGAGTGGACTGGCCCATGTCGAATGCCACTAAAGGACACACCATAGCCAGGAGAACCAGAGTGAAGAATACAGCCATATTGCAGGGTTTCCAAATCCAGAGAGTCGACGAGGAAGATAATTAGCTTTGTCTGAAGTTACTTGTTGTCTGAGTCTCTCCTCTCTTCGAATGGCTTTGTAGGCACTGCTGCAAGCTTTATATACAGCAAGGTCAGCCAGCCCCATCAGTCTGCAAGTCTGTTATCAACTACCTATCAAAGACGCAGAGACGATGCATTTGGAGACAACGGCTTGTTTTGTGATGGCTGCAGACGGGGGGGAGGACAGTGAGCAGATGAAGGCTCTTTGTAAGGGGGAACAAGGGAGGGGGGGACAATCACAGCCAAGCTTTCACTGAATGGAGCCTAGTTACATAAGGCTGAATGGACTTCATTCCCCCAAAGATAAACCTTTGGGATCCAAAATTAATAAAGAGGGCACCTCATGGAAAAAATGTGTTCTTGTTTTTCTAAATCAATTACTGCTACTACTTTGCACAGTGATTGTTATATTTGCCTCAGTTGCTGAATTATCTGTTCATTTTGTTTGCTCAATTCATACACAGTAAGTGAAAGATTAAGGGAGACCCTTTTTGAACCTACATACATTTAAAGAAATAACTTGAAGACGCTTGGCAAAGCTTCAGACAGTATCTCAGATATGGCTCATGAAAAGAAAACTGAGGTTTTCTGCAGACAGACAGGCAGTCTCCTTCACATTGTTGGTCTCTTTCATGTGTCCTAGCTTTCTAATTGGAGGGTTTCATCTGCACAGCCTCCGGTTCTAATTAACTAAGCTTCGTTTCTTCTGGCTCACCTGGCTTTGATCTGCCAATAACTATCTCAGATCCACATGCAAAACACTGTTAGCCAACCAACTCTGCCGTTTGATACAGCAGCAGCTACACTATTTTAGATGAGATCATCCTCTGCAGAACAAAGCACTAAGATAAACACTATTATCTGCTTTACAGGCTTTAACAAAATGCAGTCAGTTTCAGTGTAATGCTGCATGTTTTACCTTTCCTACAAACATACCCATACATTTCAAAGCTTGAAGATCTGTCTTTGACATACAGACCATATGTTAAAAAAAAAAATCTGTATTATTTGAGTTGTAATGATTTAAAAAGAGTTCTGTTAAGAACTTTAGGTTTGTGCTGAATTTGGCGCCCCCTGGGGACAAAGCGGAGATCTTAGCTCTTTGGTGATCTTTCTCTGTACATGCATTGGTGGTCTTTTCTTAAAGAAGGAATCCCATCATACTTCTTTGAACAGTCAAATGTCTCTCTTCTTGTAAACATTTGCTGTGGAAAATGGAAACAAATGATGTTTCTTTTTGTGTTTCTAATTGTGTTGTCCGACACATACCCCATAGCAGCAGTCACAGGCTTCAAAAGAAACAATATAGAAATGATCAATCTTCTTCCAGTTGGTTTGGTTTTGTATGTTATAAAGAGGCATCAGAATTTGTTTCAGTCTGTTTCATAACCAACAAAAAACTCCTCAAAGTGGCTTTAAATAAACCATCAAGAACCTAAGAAGGCTGGAACATCTGCTGTCGGGCAGACACATCAACACTCAGTCATAAAATGCCAACATACCAATCAAGACACCAGAGATCTTGTCATGAGATGCAGACACAAGTGCTAATTTGTCTCGTTCTCTCTGTCTTTTTTATTTAAACCTCTTAATTCATCAATGGAACTACAAACCAGCATCATCGAATTTGCTTTGATGTCACCTGTCTGCAGATTTAGATGTATATCTCAGGCTGATGCCTGCAGGCCTTGGGAGGACTTTCCCTCATGAATCAGAGGTCTCTATCCAGCAGCCTGCCATGGTCATTGAGGCCTCGGACATACCAAAGTCCATTCTGATTGGCCTGTCAGCAGAAGGGGCCATCCTCTCACAGCCAGCCCGAGTATTTCATCGGCCCCAGTTTAACCAACTTTTACAGCCTGATCTGATGAGTGGAGGCTGGTTCCAGGTCGGGTAGACGAGTACAGCCCATAAGAGGGGACTAACTGGGCAATTAGAGTCACAGACCAATTTGGGAGAACAATAGGGCAACACATTTAACAAGCTCCCCCTGCCAAGAGCCCAGCAGGGGTCTGTTGTTGAGCCTAATGGCTGCCCTGTAGACACTGTGTCTGTGTTGGTAATGTGTTGCCTGCCCCTGCCTCAGTTAATGAGAAAGTGATAAGAGTATGAGCTGAATAGTATGGCACCTGTCTGTCCAACATTGATCCAGTCAAAACCCCAGCTAAGATAGACACATTTATTTGAACCAAAACACAATATTACAGTCATTCTGAGGGTGAACATATTTAGTTTATTCTTGCATAAGCCTTTCTGCTTGTCCAGGCCATCATGTTCAAGAGCACTTGCTGACATCGTACATGTTTGTACACTGAAACACTGTTTTACCAGGATGTATACTTTAAAAGAACATCCACCCTAGAATCATCTCTGCATTCAAATTCAGAGCTTTTTTAATTAAAGCTGTAAAATATATAACTTCTTTATGCTTCTCTTTACAGGTTTATGGTCAATATTTTCAGTGGTTAAAGGATTCTTCAGCATTGTAAGTAGTTCATCTTCAATGCAATGATCATAGATGCCACGTGGGTATACGTTTCTTCAGAACATATCCAACCGTTTATAAACCATGCACAAACATTACACTTTTGTACTTTGCAGCTCATTTCTTTGGCCAATTGATTTCTAAATCTATCCCACTTATGCTGAAAGCATAGAGGCAAGAATCTGAGGCACACAGATCTTAAGACAAATCATAGTGCTGCTCACTAGATCATTAAGAACAAAAACAGTATTGTTGCTATAACTGTAACCTTAGTGGGGTTTTAGGGTAAAGTCTGTATCAAAGGTTTCATTCTAGTTTTAAAACATTTATTTGAAAGGTCACTTTAATAACTTCGGAAACGTCACCTAAAGACTTAGTCAGCTCAAGTCATCCAACATCGAGTAAGTAGTGATATCAATTGGTATGCCTTACATTTGTAAAAAAATAAATATGTAATGACAAATTGTTGATTAAGTTAAGATATTTTTCCACAGTCAAATCTACAAACACAGTGGAGGACAGCAGAATAAACACCTCAGACATACATCAAAGACAGGCGTGGTGGGACAGGGTGTCTGAGCTGGCCTCCACTGCAGCAGTGAACTCGGATGAAAGCTGTCTCCTCCCTGCACATAAGAGGCTCATTAACTTAAGAGATTGCGCCCCCATTTGTCTCTTTTCTTCCAACAATCCCCCCACCCCCCGCATCCTGCTGGGCTCCAGTAGGACTGACAGTCCCTGTGCAGATTGTCAGTAGCACTCAATTGTCACATCCAGTCTCCAACCATGTTAGCAGACGCTGCCACGCCGAGGTAAGCAGACAACTTGACCCCGGAAACCGCAGACATGCGTGGATCGACTTGTTCTAAACCAGAGACATGCACTCAACAGAACAAAAGTGAGTTCTATTCTCCTGTCTTTTCATTCTCAAGGCGCAGACACTCAAGCACTGGGAATAATCTACTCTTATATTCAGGCCAATGCCATCTAGTAGCATTATGGTACCGCCTCAGCAGATAATAACAGTAGAGCTGCTATGACGTAGGTAGTTAACAATAATTTAACCATGATCTGTTATAGCTTCATTGAAAAAAAACATTTCACGCACAGTCAAGCACACCAGCTTAATAATCACACAGAAATAGCTGTGCAGTATACACAAGAGTCATTTTTATTTCCACCCCTCTATACATGAGCACTTAGATTTCCATGAAACAAGAAATGTGCTTCTCCTTTTATACCCTTAATTAACACTGATCAAGACAAATACAGCTTCATTTGTAAACTGTAGAAAGAGACACGTTAAGGAAAGTGTAGGGGGAAAAACAACAACTGAGAACATGATCAGACAGTCGTGTGGATGGAGCCGAGTAACACCAGCCAGGACTGCATCATCCCGTTATTCACTCCTTTGCTCCTCTGAAACACTGTGGCAGAAAAAAAAGAGCATTAACCTTTGTTCAAGAAATCATTAAAACAAGACTGCTAATGATTTTTCAGTCACTTTGAAATGCAAATAAAAGCTTGTGTTTCCATTAGAACAAAACAAGGTTGAATCATCCTTAAAAATCATACCTACAGTTGCTTGTTAAATCAAAATTACACATGACCAAGTGCAAAACCTGGCTACTATCTTCTTTATGCAAACACTGGCCTGGCAGCTATGCTAAGACATACATTCCCCTGATATTAAAGCATGATTTGAAACATCAATAGTACAGCTTTGCGATTGTGAATTTGGATTACTGTTATTATAACTTTATGAAAAAAGTCTTAATGATGGCTGACTAGTTTACATACATCGGAGTTTCTCTGAGGGAGGGAGGGGGGTCACAGCCCAGATATGCCCTGTTGATGAAGCAGTATTGCAGCAGAGCCCTGAAGCATGGATCCTGGAAAGAAATACAAAGATCCACTATCTTTTAAAGGCTGGATACAACATACAACTGTTAATAAAATCACTTTATATAAATCATAGGATCAGACAGAATGTTTTACTACTCACCTTGATGAGTATGTGGGGGTTTCCAACGATTAAGAGCAGGGCTTTGGGGCGAGTGATTGCCACGTTGAAGCGTTTTGGGTTTGCCAGAAAGCCGAGCACATTCTGCAAATCATCAGTCTGTACTGATTCATTAGAGCGCACCTATATTGAGAGAATAAAGTAACTGAGGAATAATAACAACTCTTTCTGCTTATTCAGTGAGAAGAAACAGCATAATTAGGTTTGCTTTATTGTGATCAAAGTTTTAAGTTGTTGTGTTTATGTTGAATTTTGGGAATAAAAAATACACCTTCATTATTTCAGATATGAGATATTGTAATACAAAAAGTATACCACAAATCATACAGCATTACCCTCATACAGTCGTGATTTTAAGATGCAAGGTGAAAGCTTACCAAACATAGTTGGGAGCTGAAGGAAAAAATGCTGACAGGGTTTAAAGTCAGAAC